GGTGTCGGGGTCTCCTGGCAGCCATAGCAGGGGCAGTGGGGGTATCCCTGATACCAGGGCCCCTTCCTCAAGCTCCCCTTGAGGTTCCCAGGGCAGCAGTGGTCCCGGGGCTAGCAGTCCCAGAGTCCTGGCCCTGCCCCGCCTTGCCTCAGTTGGGGCGGCCACAAGAGCTCCAGCCGCCAGGGTGGGAGACTCTGTGGCAGGTGAGACCCGTTCTGGCCGGGGTGCGGTGGAGGAGCCCTGGCCTGAGGGTGTCTAGCCCCGTCCCTGTGTGCGCTCCACAGTACGACGGGGTCCCGCAAGGACGTGCCCCCGCCCAGCTGCGCCAGCCCTGGCTTCTGCTTCCAGGCTCTGAACAGCTGCTCTGATTGAGAAAAATCATTTTTTATTTTCTTCTTCAATCAGAAAGTAGTCTTGTTGGGAAAAGAAAGGGGTCTTTTTGTTACTGGGCTGGGCCCCCTTCTTCCCCTGCCTCTGGCCTCCTGCCCCAGGCCTTTACCACCTCCCCGCCTCCCCCCTCTGCTCCCCTCCTCCTGCCCCAGCTCCCATCTGGGACCTCAGTTCAGGCCAGGGCAGGCCAGAGGTAGGGAGCCAGCCAGGCCTTGGGGCTCGGGCCTCCCGGACTTCTGCCCCTCCCAGGCCTAGGCCAGACCTGACTGTCTGCCCTTACCTCACGCTACCCGCAACGGGCACCAGCGGAAGGAGCCCGTCCTCACCCCCTAAGGACAGCCGCCAAGGGCAGCCGGGCAGGAGGCTGGGCCTCCCGAGGGGCACAGGGTGCTTGCCTGGGAAGGGTGTCTGGGAAGGAGGGATTTACAGACTTCTGTTTACCAAAACGAGGCCCGTAAAACATTTAACAGCAGCCGGTTAAAGGGGGACAGCTGCAGCGGTTTAACCAGCCATGGGGCCTCCGCACCCGTCGGCCCTCCCCCGCCCCACCCCGTGCCTCAGCTTCGAGCCTTTAGGAGCTGAGTCCAGTCTGGAAAACATCTGCTCCAGATGTGTCTCCCAATTGGCTAGGACCTCCACACCCTCCAGCCTAGGTCCTGAGCAGGGGGGCAGCCATGGGGCAGGCCCTCAGACTTACCCAGGGGTGTAAGCCGGCAGAGAGATGGGGCGTCCCCGAGGCCGTCTCCCACAGGACTGCTCACCCTTCACAGCACCCCTGCCCTTCCTGAGACCCCGTGGGGTGGCAGTGGCGGTGCATGGAGCTGACCCAGAGCCACTGGCCGAGCGCGTCCGTCTCCAGGGCTGCAGTTCTGCAGCTTCCTCTGGAGTGTTCGCACCTCCCTGGTCCTGTCTCCTGCCACTGAAGAGGACCACTGGGGTTGAGGAGCAGGCTCCTGGCCAGACCCCCGACCATGAGGCGCACTCCCTTCCGACCTCGAGCCCCGCAGCGGCCTGTGGCTCCCAAGCGCCCCGCGCACCGGGCCTTCTGGGCACAGGCGGCATGTTCAGGCTGCACCAGGTCCCAAGGGCACAGGAAGGACCTGCCCCTGGTGCCACTGAGGGCTGTAGCTGGGAAGGTCCATCTGTGGGCATCCTGGGGATGCCCAGCGCTGTGGCCCCGGGGCCCTGTCCCAGCGACGCCCCCTCTCCACTCCACTGAAACGCCGCGGAGTCCTGGGGTAAGGGGTTTGATGTGAAGGACAGCTGAGCGAAGCCTGCTTGTCAGGGCCTTTGTCTCGGTGCTCAAAGGGGTCCCCACAGCAGCCCCTCCCAAGCATGCCGAGGCCCACTGCTCCCCAGGGGGCTGCTCCCCGCTGGGCCCCATAGGCTCCCACGTGGCTGCTCCACTCCGGAGGGAAGCCCTGGGGATTCCTGCTCCCTCGTCGTGCCAGGCAGCCGAGAAATCAGACTGTGGGGACGCCTTGTGACGGCTGCGCTCAGGACCCTCCTCTGGGGCCCTTTTCTGGGGGACAGGGCTCAGAGCAGTAGCCCACAGCGAGTGCTGGGGATGACAGTCCCACGCTGCCCAGCCCCACACTGCTTTTGGTTTGTTGTGTGGGCCGTGGCTGGGCAGCCTGCCAGGTTGTCACCAGCAGACGTGCCAAGTGTCCCGCCCCTGTGCACTGCCACAGCCCCAGGTCAGGCCTTGCTGAGCCCTGCCCGAAGCTGGGGATGGGACAGCGGCAGGCCAGGAGAGGCCTCAGCGCAGCCAGCTGCCCGGGGGTCCCTTGACCAGCCACGGTTGCTCTCGGAGCCCTGATGCCCAGGATGGGGTGTGAGCCAGGCCAACAAGGAGACCAGGCCCCGGGTCCAGCGCTTCCATGGTGGCAGGGGGTTGGTGGGAGGCCAACAAGGCAGGACCGGGGCCGGGCGGGTCTGTGTCGGAGAGCACCGCCAAGGCCCAGGTCTTCCCGACTGCTGTGAGCCTGGTGGGGCGAGACCAGCCACAAGCTGCCCCTTCTCCCTGGCTGGTGACGCCAGGCCCCAGCAGGGGACCTTCCAGGCCCAGGTTTGTCCTGTAAGCTGGGCTCTCGTCCTTCGGGGGCAGGGCCTGTGTCCAGGAGCCCAAGCTGCCCAGGCCCAGCTTCCCACAGTGGCCGTGGCTCAGGGTGTGGCCAGCCTCTCAGAACTTTGGCTAGCTCAGTGGGACAGACCCCTGAGCCAGAGGGACTGCCTGGCCTGGCTCTGAGTCACCAATGGGGTGTCAGGCTGGGGACCGCTCGGGGGACCCTCTTGGTCTCTCCTTTCCCACCGCCAGAGGGCACATGCCCTGTGGGGTGGCGGGGACAAAAGGCGCTGCCTCCTCTGCAGGAGATGGGCCGCAGCAATTGCTTCTGTAGCCTCTCTCGGGACTTCGGGGGCCCACATGCACCCGGTGTGTGCTCAAGACAATGTGCGCGGGACTCAGACTGCACTGTGGACCACATGGGACCCAGCACCTTAATCTCCATCGCCACCTGCTGGCCTGGTGTGTCCTTTCCGTTACTAGAAGGTGCGGTCGAGGGGGGCAAAAGTGCCCACAGGAGGTGGTCCTGCTGCATCCTCCCTCCACCTTCCCGTCCTGTCAGGACTCAGGTCTGACTGTTCCAGCTGCTGGCCTTGTGGGTCAGCCGCCCTTCTCCCCGAGGCTGTGGGATTGGCCCCAGAAGTTCTTTGGGCGTGAAGCGGCCACTGCTGTGGAGCAGAGCAGACCAGGCCGCCATGGCTGTGCAGGGTGGGCTCCTGGTCAGCCGCCCGGGACCCCCAAGCCCAGCTCAGCTCAGACAGCCCAGGGGGCTCTGATGGTGCAGGCGGGAGGCGTCTGGCCCTGGCCCCTGCTGGGCTGGGGTCTGTCCCATGTGCTCCTGTCCTCCTGCTGCTTGGCCTTCAAGCGCCCCCACCGAGTGCTCCTGGGGGGATCAAAGGGCTCCCACCCCCTCCCAACCCATCAGCAGTTCATTTTGCCTGTCCCCGCAGGGACAGGGATGGCCTTGGTCAATTCGAATTAGGTTCAGATGGACAGGTTGACCCCAGTCCCGCTGCTGCGCAGGGCCTCCAGGTGTCACTCCTGGCCACACGCAGGCTGCGTCTCGTGGGGCCAGGGCAGTGGCCAGCAGAGCACCTCCACAGCCAGTCTGCACTTCTCCAGCCCCAGGGTACCCCAGATTCTCGGGAGGTCTGGCGTCCACCTTCCTGCCCGTGAGCCATCTGGATCCCCATGGAAACAGCAACGTTCTGTATGGGCAGCACCGCTTCTACGGAGCCCAGAAAGGCAAGTGGCTCAGGCAGAGGCCAGGAGGGCAGGGCGGGCAGGGCGGGCCACCTGCAGTCCCCAGGAGGGCCCTCACCACCCCACCCGGCTCCGCTCCTGCAGCCGCTGGGGCAGCCCTCCAAAGACACGGCCAGGCAGTGCCAGGGGCAAGGCCGCCGAGGGTCCTGGTGCCCACTGCCTGGGCAGGGCCTGGCCCTGCTCTACAACAGCTGGCACGTCAGGTGGGCCTGGGGGAGGCCCGCACAGTACTGTGTCCTGCCTAACCGCCCTAGATGGTCCAGCCTGAGGCCCAGCAAGGCTGACGGGGCTGGGCAGGCCTGGAGCGGAGCCGGTCTGCTGGGCAGAGGGGTACTGACCTTCCAAAGTTCAGGGGTGAGGTGGGACACACTCCCTGGGCAGCCTGCCCCACGGGCAGGTACTGTTTGAGGTCACAAGTGATGGGGGCACCAGGGGCCAGAATTGGATTGGAGCAGGGAAGGGCAGAGGACCCTAGATGACCCACTTTCCTGGGCTCAGGAAGGAGCCATTCAAAGGGGAGGGTTGAGTTTGGCTTCAATGTAGGGGGGTTGAGGGCCTCCGCAGGGCGTCCACCAGGTGGCTGGGCACATACACAGGACAGAGGTGTCAGTGCTGCGGTGGACTGGGCAGGTCCAGTGGGGGCACCCGGACTGGGTGAGGGGGGCAGTAGTTAGACAGCCCTGCAGTCCACCGCATTCAACTGGGACTGGGCGTGGAGGCAGAGCCGGGGCCTAGGGGTAGGCAGCACGCCCAGCACAGGGTCAGGGATGCGCCATGTCCTTGAAGTGGCCAGGGCGACCCCAATGAAGATGACTGGGAGGCCGAGAGCCCTCACCTCTGGCCACCCTCAGCCCCTTCTCCCCACCAACCCGACTCCAGAGCCCTGCTGTCCAGCCTCTCCTTGGAGCTTCGGGCAGTGGAGGCTCTGGAAGGCCCCGCCCGGCCCACCTGGCCCGGTCAGCTCTGGAGGGCTCTGTCCAGGTGGGCCAGGATCGCTTCCCCCAGCCCCACCCAGGGGCCTTTCCCAAGGACAGACACCCCATTGCTCCCAGGAAAACCCAGTCTCCTGGCCCAGAGACCCCCACCGAACCCCACCACCAGGCACTATTTGGACAGCACTCGTGGGGCAGGCAGTGCCAGGCTCCGGCTCCAGAAACCCGACCTGAAGCCGAGCCCGGCCGCCCAGCAGCAGGGGCAGCTGTGGCAGAACGCCGGCCGCTCTGCTGTCACCATCACAATGTTGTAGTGGAGCCCCGTCCAAGAACACTATTTGGTTTTGGAAATTGAGCTAATTAGGTTGGCCCTGGCTACCCCCTTCCCACCCCCCTCCCTTGTTTCTAATTAGCAGGAAATTGACAGGGAATTTACATGACTGAGGACGGTTTTACAAGTTCCAAATGTTTCTTTTGTTCCTTGGGTTGGCGCCTCAGCTCTTGGCTGGGTCCACTAAGCTGGGCCTGGGGAGGGGAGGCCCCTGGGGTTCCCCAGAGGCCATGACCTGGCCCCAGTTTGGGGGGCGGTCGGTGGCTCCAGGCCAGGTCCTGAGACAGCGGAGGGAGCCCCTACCACCCCCTGAGATGATGCCAGGCTGGGTGGGGAGCTCCCCAGGGTGTCCAAGATGGAGGGGGCCAGGCCCTCCACTGGGGGTCACAGCACTCTAGGGGGATGACCTGTCACATCTTGGCACAGGTGGCCACACGGCAACAAGCGTGTTCAGCCACTGGGCGGATG